CACGCACGCACGCACGCACACGCACGCACGCACGCACGCACGCACTCACGTACACACACACACGCACACACACACAATTACTCGTCAAATTTTCCAAAATGAGTATCAAAATGACTAGGTGTTGCTAATGTCCCTCCCACAGTCGATCTGGTGACACTCGACGACAGGACGTACGAGACGTTGGCCGAGTCGAATGACAGAATCAACAAGATCTGCGCCAACTACATAGACAAGGCCCCCGTCCTCTCAGACCCCGAGCCTTCGATCGTCGGCCTACGGAGGATTCGTCACACCGGTGGCTGCTTGCAGTTTTTCATCTTATTAGGGTATATGAACATTTCTACGACTTTACTACTACTGATTGTTCCATTCTTCGTTCAATCGCGATGTTCTAATAATAAATAAATTCTAATGAAATTAAGAGGTGGTGACAAAGCCAAACCACCACAATTCCTTTGAAAAGTACGATAACGAGTATATATATATTTAAATAATACGAATATATATATATATATATATGTATATATATATATATATATATATTATATATATGATACGAGTACGAGCACGTGCATTGTCAACCCTGGTATTATCATAAACAGCTTTTGTAAAGCCTTTAATCATTAAAATATTATTCATTTATCGCTAATTATCCTACTGTTATCATAAAGGCCTGTTGTCAACGCCGCAGTTTTCATATCTGTCCGTCAACGCCAATGTTGTCATAAGTAATTTACATCGACATCAAAGTAACGCAGTTGTTCCACTATGCTTCACGAATGGAGCCAGAAGATAAAAAAGCATCCGTCAACCCTAACAATTTCATAGACGAGTTCATTGTACCCGATAAATAAATAAATAAATACATGAATAAATAAATAACAAAATATTTAAATCATATATCTTTGTGTGTACACCACAGACGACTATTCACCTGTCATGGCTGCACACTGCGCGACACGTGGCTGCAGGTGCTAGAAGTCTTCCTCGCTGCTCTCATGTCCGTTCTCATCGGCGCCATCTTCTCCTCGGAGTACGACCGTCTCTACGCTTACGAGAAGTTCTCCTTCTTCTTCGTCATGCTGGTCATCGCACCGTTGCCATACGTCTACCGCACCATCGGGCGAGGTGAGTGCAGAGAGGGGAGCCTTGCGTGAGTTGGCTATAGGGCAAGTCCAAGAGAAGGTCCCCTTGCGGTACCATACGTAACGCACCATGTTTTCCTAATTACATAATCATCCCAAGGACAAATTACATATAAATTCTTGTGGGTATTCTCCTTGCAGATGTCCAACATCGGATTAAAAAACAGTGGAATCAATCTCATGAATCAGTGACTCAAATCTTAATTGCCTTTCAGAGGGTTAAACTTTCTGAATGTCCCATACGTAACGTAGGCAAACTCTTTGACTTGCCCTATACCGAAGAGGTTGACTTATGAGTCTGAAGTAGATAATACTATAATACTATAATAATATAACGACTCCACCTCTCGTATATTGTTGCTGGGTTTTATCAAGTCAGATTAGTTTGCGCGTGTTTTCACGTGTACGCAGGGTAGTCTCGAGTTCGCGATACTTTGTTGCTAAGCATTATCGTTTAGAGCCTCCCAACAGAGCGATGATTAGCTAGAGATCAATGGTGCCAGCCAATCACAACAGGCGATCAATTTCGGTAGCGAATGGTGATACTAGCAGCAACCTTTGCCGATGGTGACGCACCAGTAAATACTCCGTCTATAGGCGGCTAATACTACATTTCATTATGATCCTATGCCACTCTATAATATCAGGAGTGTATAATACAGAATAAAGTCTAATATAGTATCTCTATAATCTATATAGTATAATATAGTCGATATTATACACTCCTGATAAAGTTACCGTAAATAGTAAAAATAAAAATAAAAATCCACTTTTTCAGAAAATGTAAATAATTATATTCACTTTTTATGGTTAAATTGCTGCATTATACTTCCTATTTTACTATATTGTTCGATGTAAACGTACACTCGTAACTCATACCTAGCCCACAGCAAGCAATTAATGTCAAGATCAAAATAGCAAATCGTCCAGGTTTTATTGGATTTTTAACTAGTTGAGAAACAATCTTATCAGGTAAGAATTTGACGGTACATTTAGTCCCGTTTGCCTACTTACATTTAATGTAAAAAATGTCAACAATTTTTTTAAACAAAATTACACCATAGAAAATTTGTGACGTAGTCAATTTAAGGACTGTTGATTACGTCCATCAAGATACTGTCACCCCATACACACACTGTTGATCGAGTTAGTATGGTTTTGCAAAACTAAAAATCTAGCGGGTACTTTTGAGTGAACTGTACAAATTTATCACGTTTATTTTTTTACAGCGTCAGAAGAGAGGCGAGACTTTTACTCTGAGGTAGATGAAAACTTGTACAGCCCCGTTGCATTGTTTTTTGCTAAGGTGAGATAACGTTTATACGCGTTTGAATTTATCAAACCAATATTTCAATGAAAAATATGCACATACGGTGCCTGTACTGAATACTTATTCAGGACTTAAACTCTATACGATATTAATTATATTTAAAATCGTGATTTAAATATAAATATATAAATATATATAAAGCCAGATTGAGCAAAAACTGCATTTCGTCCGTCCGTCCGTCCTTTCGTTCATTCGTTCGTTCGTCCGTCCGTCCGTCCGTCCGTCCGTCCGTCCGTCCGTCCGTCCGTCCGTCC